TTTGTGGAGGTCTCAGTCCCTACTCATCCGGCTCCAAGGCAGAGTGGCATGGCAAAGGGCAACTGTTCATAGCAGCTGCAAGTGACAAGGGCAAAAAGGAAAAGCATTCCCCCTTCCCTCCTTTACATTGTGTACCAGCTACCAACTCCTGGGTGGGTGCAGCACTCACACCCAGAACTAGACAATGCTAGACTCAGCTGCATTCAAAAGACCCAACCCCATTACTGAATGAGGCATTGAGGGAGAATCTAGACACAAACCATAACATTTCACTCCCTGTCCCCCAAAGACTCATGCACATTCCTTTATGAGCAAGGCATTTAGTCCATCCACTAGAGTTGCCAAAGTCCTAACAGTTTCAATATTGCTGAAAAATGCAAGTCTTCTCTGAGATCTAAGGCAAACTCTTACTTGTAAGCCCCTGTACAAATGAAAAGAAAGTTAAGTACTTCCAATATTCAATGGCACAAGATAAACATTACCATTCTAAAGGGTACAAACAATGAAATGCAAAGAAATGGGACCAAAGGAAGTCCAAAATCCAGTAGGACAAACATTAAGTCCTGGAGTTCATGTTCAACATCTGAAGCAATTTGGGTGTGAGTCTGGAATAACTACATCCCCATGGCACTTCTGGTGGTTGTAACTCCCATGGCTTCTCTCTTGGGCTGACAGTGCTCCCTCCTTTGCAGGTTTCTTTAGACAATCCATGTTCCTGGCTTCTCCAAACTTCTGGGTTCTGCATTGGACCTTTGGCTTCATATCTACAGCTTCATGCACTACTCGCTGGGGGGCCCTCTGCCTCATCTCCCAGCCTTCTGAAATCAGAGTGGAAGCCTTTACACAGAACTCTTGCATCCTGTGTGCACCTAAAATCAGTTCCACCTAGATGATGCTGAGGTCTGTTGCCAGTGGAGCAGTAGCTAGAGTTTCCTCTCTCTTGGCTTTAGGGGAGTACCTGAAATCATGAGCGTTCTTGAGACTGACTGTGAGGAACAAATTATCTATGCCACCACTATTCTGAAACCTGGTGCAGCCACCACCATTTTGGAACCTCGTGTGATCTCAGCCACCATTCTGGAACATTATGCTCTGTGACTTTTTCTCAAAGGAAAGTGTTTCATTTCTTCAGTTTTGAGGCTAAAACAAGGTGGAGACACACTGCTTTCTGCGACACTCACAGGTCATTTTTTAATTTTTTGTTCCTTCTCAGCAGTTGAGATCTCAGCTGTATATTTATGGTCCACAGCTTTACTAGAGCTTTCATTCTAGCCAAACTCACATTTTAAATTATCTTTCTAGGATTTTTTTCTCTTTATTTGTAAGATAAATCTGGCTAAAAGCCTCCAACAATAGCCATAGCACTGCTGCAACATTTGGCTGTCTTGGAATTCCTTTCATCAAGTTAGTTAGTTCCATTCTTTTTATCTCAGCCAGGCACCATCTCTCAACAGGAGAAAAATGTGGAAAAGTTTTCTTTCAAGCCATAACACACATTGTTTGGAGTCCAACAGCCAATGTAATCCTTTCCAGCAGAGAGCTCCTGAGCCCAGTCTTCACTGATTTTCTGGTGTTCCGAGCTCTGACCATAATCTCCCACACAGAACTGCCTAACCCCTGTTCCATGCCTAGTCATTCAGTGACATCTGTGAACTTTTCCAAACCCTTCCCACAAGCCGTTCCCTAAGGTTCTTGAACCACATGGTCAGGTATAGTTGCAACAACCCTACTCCACTGGTACCAAATTCTATCTCGGTTTCTTTTCTCTCACTCCTGAGACAAAATACTTGATTCTCAAAATGAAGGAAGGAAAGGTTCATTTAGCTTATAATTTGTGGAGGTCTCAGTTCATACTCAGCTGGCTCCAAGGTAGGGTGGCATGGTTAAGAGGCAATCATTCGTGGCAGCTCCAAGTGACAGAAGCCAAAAAGGGGAAAGCATGCCTTCTTCCCGCCCTCATGTCGCATGCCATGTGCTTGGCCCTCGGCAAGTGCACCACTCATTCTGCCAGTCCCAGCCCTAGACCATGAAACAATCACAAATGCTAGACTCAGCCGCCTTTTAAAGGTCCCACTGCCCGCATGACTGCGTGAGGCTTTGGGGGGACATCTAGATGGAAACTAACATTCAGATAGAAGATCATGAATTTTATTGCTATGTCTGATAACCCAGATTACAAATACGATGATGTGTTCCTAAAACTGGTGATAGTTTTCTTTCACTCCAGGTTGTTTTTACAAACTGGAAGTCATTTTTTGATCTCTGGCTTCCTGGCTAAATCAGAGAAAACAGTTTTATGGGCCAGCATGAATAATGTATCATTGAGTGAACCCCAGAATCTCATCTTGGATGCAACTCCCTTGGCTCTCTCAATAATTCTGTAAGCCTTTAATTGTGTAAATTACATTGTGTATCTGCTTAAACTATCAACAGTGTTTTTGTTATCTACAACTGAGTTCTGACTGATACATTATTTGGCTCCAGAATTTGGCTACAGACAAAAATGGCATCTCTCAAGTGCTTACTGAGGTACAGCATGGCCTGTCTCACAACAGGAGCTTAAAAAATAAAAGTTAAGAGAAATCTTAGTTAGAATAGTTGGAAAATTGTACCTTTTTCGTAAGCAAATCAAGATGGACTGGGTACTAAATAGATAACTAAGTTAGATAGAAATATTATACAGTCAGACAGGACTAGGACCTTGAGGGAGTCAATGCAGAATATGAGAACAAACTTCAGTGAATATATTACAGTGGATGATAATACATATTATAATCCCAATATTGTAATACCTTTTTCTATCCTTTTTGTGGTCTGAGAAGTTTATATTTATAATCCTCTTGAAACATTATTGGAATCCCGGTGAGTTAACTCCAATTTACTACGTTCTGTGCAACCCACAAAGAGAAAAAAGACAGTACAACATTTTCATAGTTATGGGCAGTCATGGGGTCCTAAGTCAGATCCAGGTGAAAATTCACAGGACAAAGTCTTCACCCCAGGACTTCATCCAGAGTTTATTAATTCATCACAAAGGGAGTGGTTGAAGGATATGTGACAGTAAGAATAGCAAGAATTGTACGAGTAATGTGGACTGGGCTAGCCGAGTGACCAGAAAGCACTTCTGCAATCGGTAGAGAGAAGGGCATGCAGAAAGACCAATCTGAGTAAGTCAATTGCGGTAGCATTTAAATGTTTAGGAGGTTGTTGCTTCGGTTTCTGATATATAAACTTTTGTGCCCTGGGAAGCCATAGCCTCTCTTCTTGAAGCTTGAACCCACTTGACATTCCTGAAGATAAGTGGCTCTGCCAACCTCCTGTGATCAACTGTTTATAGGGAGACACTAGGTATGGAAACAGGAAACTGTCAGCTTGCTTCAAGGAATACACGTTAGTGCCTCAGCTAGCCCCATTCACATTGCTTAGAGCCAATTGAAAGGAGAAGGAAATAGCTTAGCCAGCTCTGTACATATTAGTACATGGAGATAGGGCCCAGTTAAGCTAATGTGGAAGTAATTGTTCCGCATTCCAGGAGCCCCATCCATATGGTCTTCTACAGGCATGTCTCTTGAATGCTAGGACTCAAGATAAAGAAAAAGTGACTGGGCCTACATGCTTTTCCAAGGTATAACCAATTTACTAGAATGGATATCATTTGTTCAAATAAAATCTAAGTAGATATCAGTCATCCAGACAGGCGATCAGCACTGCCTGACTCATCTCTTTCAAAAAAAAAAAAAAAAGTGCTCTTCTTGCCATGTACACTTGCTACATGATTTGCTTCACCACTGGATCAGTATTACTTAAGCTGTACTTGTACTCCCATAGTTTTGTTCCACAATGTACCCACCACATGATTTTGCGCCCACTTCATTATTTTGCTTTTATAAAGCTTCCTCTGGAAAGTGAGGTCCACAGCAACCCACTCAGGGCCTCTCCTGTCTCTCTAGCACTGTCTCTTACATAGTAAAATTTCCTGCACTTAACATCCTTTGTCCCTTAGAATTCATTCTTCAAGTTTAGAGAACACAAACTCAGTGTGTTGGACATCAAGCAAGTTGAGACTTGTAATATTTCCTTTATATTGTTTGGAGGTCGTTTATCAGTACCTGGTATATAGCTGCGGATCAAGAAAATGGTGGAAGTTAGGATTCCCTGAGGAGATATCAGTCTATCATTTTCCATCTTGCCACAGTCATATACAACTCCCAGATATTCACCATTTACTAAATGAAATAAGTCAGACTTAGGAAAATTATTATATGATTCCACTTATATCAAATATATGGAAAAATAAAATGCAAAAAGGCAGAAAAAGGAGAAGTGGGTATTAGGAACAGAGGGAAAGGGCTATGACAAATGAGGAGCTATTGCATAACAGAACTTCAGTTTGAGGATTTAGAACAGTTTTGGCAATAATTATGATGCTTATATGAGGTTATGAATGCCACAAATACTACCAAGATGGACACTTCAAAATAATTACAACAATGTTGTTATACATTAACACAATGTGAATTTTTTTAAAAAAATAGTGTCTTCTTAATTTCTTATTCTGAGCACTTTTAGCTAGAAGAACTGTTAATTTGTGGATAATTTCACATTTAACCAGGTGTGAATGCTGCTTCAGCAAATGATGCCAGTTCTCTCACTAAGATATTTGCTAAGGGATGTGGATATTGCATTTGTTATACATGGTTATTTTAGGAGTTTCCTATTTGAAGAGTTCAAAGATCATAAAACAAAGATTCTTCTAGTGCCAGGTCCCACATTACAAATTCAGAAAGTAAAGTAATTTACAACCCATAAAACACTTATATAAATACCTATATTTCCAAGTATGAGTTTAAGGATACTTTACAAATCATCACAAATAATATGTAGCATTTACCATCAAAGCAGTAGACAGAAGAAACTGGTCAGTTGCAGATTTATTGATATGCTTATGATAGCTTAGATATTCTGAATCTATGACCTATGGCATTAGATTTATTAAAATGGTGTTCAACTCAGCAGCGTGAACACTAAAATTGAAATGATACAAAGATTAGCATGGCCCCTGTTCAAGGATGACAAGAAATTTACTAAAAGAAATACACTTTGAATATGTAAAATGTGATATTTATATTTAATGGAGTACTACACTGCCATAAATAAAGATAAATTAAAGCATTCATAGGCAAATGGCACAATTTGAGAATATGATGTTACATGAAATAAATCATACACACAAGCTTGGTTTCACATGGCTTCTTTTATATGAGGAAAATATATATTAGTAAATATATATACTAATATATAAAAATATATAATAAATGCTAATTACATAGTATACATAATATATACTACTTATATAAAGTATGTAACAGACACCATTATATAGTATATAATACTATACTATTATATTATATAATATTATACATAAGGAACAAAATAGTAGACAAATAGAAAATAAAAGTGCAAATACATCCCAAAAAAAACTATTGCATTGCTTTAAAAACATTTTAACATATTTGCAAAGTTACTTCATTTATACTACTAGTTTATCTTAGTTTTTTTGTGTTATTTGTTTTTTTCTTCTTTATGAAAATGTTTTCGGTCTCTGTCTTGTACTCTGAGCAACTAACTACTTTGAATGTAATGATACACACTGTATTAAACTACTGTTATCTCTTACTTTGTTATGAGATTGTTTTATTTTTTCATAAAATAAAAATATGCTCTTGATTTATTTAACAAATTTTATTTCATCAATAATGTCCTGTTCTCGGAAGATGTTGATTTATCCTCTATGAGTTAAGAGCTATGAAGGAGAGGAGAAGCTCACCAATACCTTCAGCTCCTTTCTTGAAAAATATCTCTTGGGACATTGCTGTCTTTCTGCACGTCAGGAAATTAGAACATTAGAAATTTCAGGTACCGATTCTTACTTGAAATTCAGTGCTTTCTCTTATACAATATCTAATTTTCTCATTTTCCTTCACTTCTTAGAGACCAACAGTGCAGAACTTTTGAAGGCAAGTGTGTCTAATTTTGAGTGTGTGTAATAAAAAAGAGAAGCCAGGCCAGAGCAACACACACTCTAATAAAGAATGTTTACTTCCTAGCCAGAAAACACAGTATCTCCTTCTTTCCTGATTCAGCCCATTTACTTCCTAATAGTTTTCCATATATAGATATGTGAAAGATGCTAAAATATTCTTTCAACACAGATTGTCAGAGTCTGAGGAAGGTATTTCTCTATTCTTAAGAAGAGGCCCCTCTGGTAATTTTCAGCTGTAAATAGTCTTTCCTGGAAATTCTATTTTTATTGGATAATTACTAATTGTGAGTATTAAAATAAAAGTTGTACTTGAATTCAAGAAATTTAGCTTATTAATTTCCTAATAAATGTTGTGTTTTCCTTTACATTCTACAAATCTGATTGATTGCATAATTTCTGGAAATAGGTAAATTAGGCCCAGATGATTTTTGATATGTTTGTACCTTAAGAGAGCTGAGAAACAAATGGTCTGAAATTCATAATTAATTTAGTGGAACTCACTTGAACATAGTTCTCAGAAATCCTATTTTACTTTCCATCAGGGCCCTTTGAGTGAAGAAACAGGAAAGCAACAAGATTAAAACAAAACAATTATATTTTCTGGGTAAATTTAATATATGTGAAGGAATTGTACTACCACTAAAAAGTATCATAAAAATATACTGCTTTTGACATTTTTCTTTAATTAAAGTTAGACAATCATCTCTTAGACTGTTCTCACAAATGAAAGAAAAGTTCCAATAGAAACTATGCTGTTAAAACAGTACTATTTAAATAAGAGTGCAGATATATTCTTGTTATTAACTCGAAACAGTTTGTCAATTAACATTCAAAATCACTTGCAATGCCAGTAAGCAGAGGAATACAGAGTGAAGAATAGCAAATGAAATGAGAGAAATTAAGGGTAAGAGAAGTCTTGTAAGAATAGCAAGGAGGGCACTTGAAAAGAAAGTACTATGACAGAGATTTTATTTTATTATCTTCCATAGTTATGCTAATAGCTCATTTGGGTGTAACTTCACTTTTTTTTTTTTTTTTTGGTGTTTTTCGTTTTTATCCGTACCAGGGATTGAACTCACAAAAGCCTGCTTGCAAAGCAGGCACTTTTGCCGCTGAGCTAAACCCCCAGACCCCATTTGGGTGTAACTTAGTGAAATACAAGCCTTCAGTTAGAAAGGTCCTGATCTATTTTGTCTTTAAAATCACCATTCACAATTTAATAGTCATGTAAAAATAATAACTGACTGAAGGAAAAAAATATATATCCAAGTACAATAAATAAAACAGTCATGGTAAAAGATACTTGCCTTAAAATGAAAAACAAAAATATGGAAAATAGTGTAAGTCTGCAAAAGTCAAAGTCAAGTCTAATTAAGTCAGAAAAATCTCTATTGAGCTTTGCTATTTTGCTAAGGTCATCCCTAAGATTTTGTTCCTTGTTGTTGTCCTTCTGTATATTCACAAAAATTGACACTGTGTTTTATTGAGAGGTAAGTTGTACTCTTAATATACATTTGAAATGATAATGACTATATTATTTTAGGAATTATCATGACTGAGTACTTTTTGTCTCCATAGTACTATGGAAGCAAATACTAATTCCCAATGAACAATCTTAATCCAAGTTACTGAAATCTCATCTGGAGCCGCAGGTTTAGAGGCATCCATAGCAGCCTCCTTAACCACGGACAACTCAGCCCTCTTCCTCCTCTTCCTTTTTTATCAGCCGTACTCAATCACCTGAGAACCCCTACATCCTTGTATTTACCTCTATGCTTTTGTTGTCACTATTACTTTTTGATTTGGAAAACTGTCCGTTCTTACTTTGTTTAACTTTATGTATGCTATAACAACTTTATAAATCACTACTGATACCAGATAGGGGACTGCTTTCTCAGTAACAGTACAAATTAAAACTGACTTACAGATTTACAGGTAAAAGGTTTAAGAAGGGGTTAGGAAGAAGACCAAGAGTGGGTGATAGAATAGATAATGGTCAACTTCCTTCTAACAAAGGAAAAAGTCTTTAATATGCTTGCTGAAGTGGGAGAGATTTGGGTCATTTTCCATTGGGTCACATCTATAGAAGTTTTAGAAGCCTCTTCCTCATGTTTTAATGAATACCTTCTTTGTGTAAGACACAGATCACTGGCTATGCTTGTCTTTGGAGACATCATAGTACTTTTGCTGCTCCTGTGTCACTGTGCACCCAGTTCTTGCGCTGAAGGTCAGGAGATAAGGAAGAAATATGTTTCAGATATTGTTGGCAAGGAAGGATATGAAAAAAAGACATACTGTCACCCAGTAAAAATAGACTATGGATTAAAGCTGAAAATTTTTACCTTCACTAGATAACACGTCACAAACCGAGGCCCAAGAAATGTCTCCTGTTCCCTTGAGGTCTCTGTCTGGCTTGTTACCAGTTTAGCAGTGGTATGCACGCTCTGCTCAGCATCCTCTGGCTATTTCCCACCTTGTACGACATGACCCAGCATCTTCTGTATCATCCAAGGCAGTGATAAGGAAGATTATACCTCCCTTGTACTTCAACCAGTGCTCTATGAGCCATATCCTTACTTTTCTTCATATATTATTTTGCTTTCATTTACCTTATTTCAAAGTTTTCATTTATGGTAAAAAATCATCTCATAAAATTTATCATTTTAGCCACATTTTAGTATATGGTTCATTGACATTCACTACCTTTACATTGTTTTGCAATCATTCTCAAGAACATTTTCATCTTTCCAGACCAAATATCTATACTTACTAAAGAATACTGCCCCTTATTTTTAAGTTTTATTGCATACAATATATGCAGAAAATCAAATTTATTATGTAATATTAAGTGTACTCATAAAATTACTATATAACCATTACTAAGTAAGTCAACAGATTACCAGGATGCATTTTTTGAAAAAGTACTCTCAATTCTAAAAATAGTTTATATGTTTACCTACACGTATATACATATATATATATATATATATATATATATATATATTTTTTTTTTTTTTTTTTTTTTTGCAAATTTGCAACTTACATCCAGAAGGACATAGACTTTAGGATTACTATGTCCTTTAACACTGACATCTTAAAAGGATGGCTCCAATTCCTTGAGAAAGACATTCTGCGTTTGAAAATTAGTAAGAGGCTTTTGGAATATGATTGGCCCACATTTACAATTTCAAATTTACAAAGAAAATGATATAATAGAAGGTAGGGAGAAAGTTACTCCCCTTATCTTCAAAAAGGAAAATTAAGCCTCATAGTTACTTTATCTTTACACTTACATACCCTATAGAGCAGAAATATTTTCACTTATTCCTTTATCTTTGAAGCTATTGGGTTTTGTGATTTTTTCAATTTCATATAAAATTTAGAGTTGCTTTGTGAGTTTTCATTAAAATTCTGCCTGAGATTACAACTTGTGATTATATAAAAATATACATTGAACTCACAGATTTCCAATACTACTACTTAACAATCTGCATGATATTTCCCTCCAAATATTTTAACATTCTTTAATATATCTCAATACTTATTATATATGTTTACTTTATTATATTTTCCCCAGATATTGAAGTCTTTTCTACTTGTAAACAGCCTTTCAATATATTTTCTGTTTACTTCTAGCTTATATAAAGAAAAAATTGTTTTATGTTTCAACTCATGCTAAAAATTGTATTATTTTTCCAATACATCCAATGATCATAACACTAGACTGTTTCCTCTTCTTCTTTTCTGATTCTTATGCATTGTCTTTATTTTGTTTAATTACCACCTAAAACCTCAAAATGTTATAAAAGTGATCTTTCTCAGCCTCAATTGAGCTATGCCTTAAATTGGCCAGTGTTATATTGGATATGTACATTTCTCTCTTAAATTTTATGAATATTTTATATAATTTAAGATTTACAAATTTAGATTAGCTGTCTATTCCCAATGAAATGGGATTTATTTTTATGAGACATAGTATTTGATCTTTAGTGTGTTAGTTTGCTCATGATAGAATCTATATGTACACTACCAATTCTAGTTTTCCTTGGAAGGTCTGCCTAT